TAAATTCCAACATTTATTGTACTTTGCAGTTAGTGAAATAAAACTATTTGTCGTCCCATTAATGCCATGCCAGGTGTTTAATGATGGTGCTATTTTTGGATGCCAGGGATGGAGAAAAACAATGCCAGGTACATAGTAGACATTTAATAAATATTTGTTAAATGAATGGGTAGACTGACTATAAAATGAGTTCCTGGCCTTCATGTGTTTCTCACCAATTGTCTATTTTGCCCATATAGTCTATAAAGCAATATTAAGGATTTAAGGTACTCTGACTTTGTTGTAACATGTGGCAGAGTCTGAAGTGCTCTCAATAAATTAAGTCTTGGCATCCTCCCTTCCCACTACACCTTCGCTGATGCTATCCTTGCTGCCTCAATGCCCTCTTACTTAGTCTCTGCCCACTAGGGAGTATCTAAGGCCCATGTTTCAAACTCCAAAATTGTAAACTCTTAGAAGATGGGAAGCAGGTGTTTGTAAAAGAGTACTCATCAGAAGTGATGAGCACGAAGCAAATGTGGAATCAATAATTATTTTTCTGATCTCTTTTCCTCCTATGGAAACAGAGTGACTGTATCCCCAAGGTCAAGAGGCCTTCCATCTGTGCAATGCTTTAGACTTTCCAAAGGTTATGGTATAGCAGTTCAGAATGCCTCATCTGAAGTCAGACTGTCTGGCTTCCAACCCCCCGTTATTCGGCCAGTTACCATCTGAGTGTCCTTAGACAAGTTACCTAACCTCTTTCTGCCTCAGCTTTCTCTTCTTTACAATAATGGGAGAAATAAAGTTATCTACCTCATAAAATTACTAAAAGAATTTAAATAAGTTATTTTGTAAAGTGCTTAGAATAATGTCTGTCACATAGTAAGCATTATGTAATGCTTGTCAAACTACATATATACATATAGATCGTGCATGTCTATATTGGTGGTATATATTCACATACATAGATATATACACATACATAATAATTATGTACTCGGTAAAGTTTAAGTTAAACAATTGTGGACACACAATTTGGCATCCACAATAACTTCATAAGGTGAGCAGAGATATTAAATAATTTCCTCACACTTGGTCATTGGTAGATCCATTCCTCTAATCCATGTCTTCTGATTCTGAACGAGAAATCAAAAAGTAGAAACTATAGCTTTTATCCACTGATCTTCCCCCAAACATGTAGTTTTCAGATTCAAAATTATTTCTTTACACCAACCGTTGAAATTTACTATAAGTATTTTAATTATTTTGATTTAAAGCACAAGAATTGTGTCAGACTCAGGATATGAGCCTTTCAGTAAAAATTTAAAATAAATAAATATATATATAGAGAGAGAGAGATAGATATATATAAATATATAAATCCATGATGTGGGTCACTTTTTATTTGACTACATTTTTCCTACAATTGAAGAAAGATAAATTGAGTGTGTTGAATGGGGAATTATGTTTGAAGTTTTAGTAGAGAAGAATTCAAATTGGAAAATATACAGTTGGACTACATTTAAATGGATATATGTCTGTCATGCCATTTAGTATGCAAAGACTTGTGTTTGCATTAAACTGAGGGAGAAGCAGTTACTTTCCTGGCAGTATATATTCAAAATGCACCTTTGAAAAATAAAGGCATTTTGTTCTTCTCTGGGGGGAAAAAAAAAGCTGTTATTTTATTTTAAATACAAGACATATTTGACTTCTGTCAACGGCTTACATTTTAATAATGCAGTTTGTACTTGCATTCATTATCTGCAATTAGAATTCTTGAAAAGCTTTTAGCATTTTTCTCCTGAACTTTTAAAATTCATTCATCGTTACTGTTAACATTTTAGGGAACAATGATTTTATAAGTCCAATTGGAAAACTAAAAGAAATTTGTTGTCTGAAAATTACTGCTGAACTAGGTAGAGCATCCTCAGCTCTTATGCTGAACCTCATTATGGTCAGATATTTACACGCTTTTCATCATAGTATTGGGTCAGACTCCAATGTTTTCCTTTTAACCCACATTAGTTAATTAGAAATCCTATGCCAGCAGTCAGCTCAGTCTTTCTTTTATACTAAGGCTTAGTTTGTGCAAATTACCTGCTTATACTAGTGCCCACTATCCAAGTAAAACAAGAGTCCAGAGGACTCATTTCTTTGTCATGTATTGAACGGAAATATTTCTCAGATACCCAGAATTGTCTGATATGTCTTTTCATCCAGGTGTGGTGGGAGTCATGTGTTCTCATTTCTTTCTGCCTCTCAGTTAGCAAGAAGAATACAAACAGCTAAGCAGCTCTGTGAGTGGGGCATCTGTGCGCATGTGTGTTTGAGTTTTTTCACCCTCTCATTTTAAGATGTAACTGGAACCAGGACCTAAATGGTATGTGGGTTTGCTTCAGGCAGAGAATATAAACAGAGCCAAGCCTAGCAATGCAAGGTGTGTAGTGGATTCATTGACCTCGCTGTTTGCCCAGCTGCAGGGTGGACTCCCTTCTCATTCCCCAGCTGCCCAGCTCCTTCCCACTACTTTTTTATTTTCTTTTAAACTGGAGTAGCCAACCAAACTTCCCCCGGATAGGTTTGATAATTACTAAAAACAGACAACTTTCCAATGACAGCTCAGAAAAAGCCACCACTGCTGTAAAGTTTAGCCTTTACTTTGTTCTCGTTCAGTACTGCCTTTGCATTTTTAAGAAAAGACATCATTCGATTTTTTTTTTAATAAAAATAAGTAAAGGCTCTTCACCAAACCCAAGTTTTACTCTTCAAAGTAGTAATCTTAAAAACATGTGCTGTTGAACCATATGAAAATATCAGTTTTCCAAGTTTTTTAAAATAACCTACAGAAACAGCAATTTTATGTAGTTCAACCTAAATAAACAACATTTGTTCCAGAGATGCTTCCAGGCTTCACATTGTATTAAGACTCATCTTTTGAAGTGAGAAAACTAAAATTTATTACTTTAAAATATTATATTAGTCTCAACTTCTTAACAGCTATACTTGAGCTATAAAATTGAATAACTTTTGGCTACTTGCAGATGACATGAATCTGCCTTATAATTTTTGACATATTCTATGAGAAAGTGCCAGCACTGATGCTCAGTGTTGGGTTCTAGTTCCAATATGTTCCTTGGTACATTGGTGTATCACACCTATGTGTGTTGGTTTCTTTCTTAAGGAATATAAATGCACAAAATACCCAGATTTCAGAATTTTCCCAGGTGCCTGATTCTGCAATGCACATTAGAATTATATTGGAAAACTGATTTTTAGGTAAAATCTCTAAAAATCTGTGACTTTTTTATTCTTATGTATCAGAGAACACAGAGATTATATGTAAATGTTGTTACAAGAATAAGTAGCAAATACCTTTACTCATTTTTTGAGAAAATATTTATTAAGTATGTTATCTAAAGTACTTTAGAGATAGATCAGTTTTATTATGTTTCCGTTTTTATTAGTAGAGCGTAAAATTGGCAGAGCCTCAAAAATTTACATATTCTCTAACCCTGCAATTCTACTTCTAGAAATTTCTCCTAGGAATCATGACATAATTTTGTCCACAAACATTTTTGTAATAATAAGATAACCAAAATTTTTCATAATTGAGAATTCATTATATAGGTTAACAACTTGCATGGAAAGATACATTACAAAATGTTCCATATATTCCTAAATGTTATTAAAATATAAGTTATGTATAATTCATTTCCAAGGGAAGAACTAAGATGAGATATACATGAAGGGTTTTCAGCACAGCTTTCTTTATAGAGCAAAAAATTGAAATAATCCTAAAATATTCAACAATACTGTTTACTTAAGTATGTATGGACATTATATAAAGAAGTATTATACAGACCTTCTTCTTATTTGGAAGAATATTTAGTGATATAGAAAAATATTCTGATATATTAATTAAAAGAAGACATTAAAAATTGTACAAAAATGGGCTGGAGTTGTGGCTCACTGGTAGAGCACTCGCCTACTACATGTGAGGCACTGGGTTCAATCCTCAGCACTACATAAAAATAAATAAATAAATAAATAAAGGTATTGTGTCCATTTATAACTAAAAAAATTTAAAATAATTGTACATGTAGGATGATCCCAAATATTTAAGGGGAGAAATAAATATGACATTTTTAAATGAAGAAGTGGGTGTGTGTGTTTTTATAGGTAAAAGACTAGAAGACTGTATACCAAATCTTAACCATGGTTTGCTGTGTATTTTATTTCCTGCTTTGTATCATATATTGTCTACACTGAAATTTTCTTTTTTTAATTTTTTATTGTTGGTTGTTCAAAACATTACAAATTTCTTGACATATCATATTCCACACTTTGATTCAAGTGGGTTATGAACTCCCACCTTCACCCCATACACAGATTGCAGAATCACATCAGTTACACATCCGTTGATTTACATATTGCCATACTAGTGTCTGTTGTGCTCCGCTGCCTTTCCCATCCTCCACCATCCTCCCTCCCCTCATCTCTACACTGAAATTTTAAGTATCACTTTGTGATCAGAATAAACAATGTTTTTAAACTACAACTATATATGAACCTTAATATTTAAATTTGGTATTTTGAAAGGAGATTTTGTGTGATAAATTCCTTTTTTCCTATCTAAGCTGGAGTTTTGGTTGGGTTAAAACTTATCCATGAATAAATAGTTTATTCTGCAAATTAGTAATGCATGTGTGATTTTAGAGAAACACTTTTAAGCTTAAGAGAACTTTCTGAGTATGTTGAAAAGTTTGCAAAAGACTCTTAAATCATTTTTTCATCAAAGCCTGTCCCCTAAGTGCCTCTTCCTGGCAGGTGAATTTGCATATTTGTTTGGTTTATGTAGAAGCAATAGGCCATAATTCATGTATTTTACTAACAATCTGTCTTTTTCCTGCCAGTTGGAAGGCGATATTTTTAACAGACACATCATTTAATGGTTTGCATTCACTCTGTAAGTTACAGGCAGACATCTTTTAACAATTTGGGTTACTTTTTCACAGGTGATGAAAACATACCACATGTATCATGCAGAGAGCATCAGTGCAGAGAGCAAGCTGAAAGAGGCTGAGAAACAAGAGGAGAAGCAAATTGGGAAATCTGGTGATCCTGTCTTCCATATTAGACTAGAAGAGAGACATCAGCGGCGAAGCTCTGTAAAGAAAATTGAAAAAATGAAAGAAAAGGTAAGTGAAAATATATTGCAGAGCCCTCCGTCTTCAGCGAGGAGCTAATAATGCACTAAGAACACTGCCGCAAAATCACTGATCTATGCACATTGTAAATTATTGTGAAATGACACGCATTTCCTCCCATGGGAAATAAAAATGTTTAAGACACATAAAAATCATGTGATAACAGCTGGACATCATTTAGTGGTGAATGCCAAGTATTGAGTATAAATGTGGAAAACTTGAACGGCAACAAAGAGATTTCATTGCAAATGGGCCTGAAGCCCAAATACATTGTTGTTATTCCCCATAGCTGGGTAATTTTAGTTTGTTATTTAAATCAATTTCAGAATGTACTTTTCACAAAGACTTAGAGGGTCATTTGTATATGTGGAATAAATTATTTAGATTAATAAAAATTCATATATGTTTCTCTGTCTTATTTTAAAATGGCTTTGTCTCTCAATGCCTGCATCTTCTTCCTTTCCAGAGACAAGCAAAGTATTCAGAAAATAAGCTAAAATCGATTAAGGCACGGAATGAATATCTCCTAACACTTGAAGCAACTAATGCCTCAGTTTTCAAGTACTATATTCATGATCTTTCGGATTTAATTGATGTAAGTAATTATGGTTTTTATGTTTCCATATTAAGATGGAATTAACAATAGCTTTCCTTCATTAACTGGAAAACACCATTCTTGATTAAAATAATGTTATTTTATGTAGTACTCAGAAAAAATACTTCCCATTCCACTATATGGGATACTTACACACTATGGATTCTAAGACATTTGTTAAAAAAAAAAAAAAAGCGTGTATCTTAAAACCAGTGATAATCAGGTGATTAGGGTCTTTGAAGCTGCAAGTGCCTGGTGAGCTCAGCCAGAAAGGGGACCCAGCCATTTGCAAATTATGCAGTGTCATAGCCCCAACCATTCATTGATTCAAAATATATTAATTGGGCTCCTCCTTTTGTGATATGCTGAGGCCCTAAGAAGCCATGTAGAATGCTTAGCCTCTGGAAAATAAAATGGAGAAGACAGGTGTTAAGCAAATGACTACACAAGTGATTGCTCTGTGACAATCATGACAAACACAGGGAAGCAAAACTGGGCACACGAACCACTCTGACAGATTGTTCCATGTCTCCGTACTTTCTTGGGATATGGAGTAAAAAAAGCAGTAATTGGGCTCATTTAGAATTCTCCAAAAATATATCCACAATTACATTCATACAGCATTTGCTGCCGTTATTCCACAGTGTTAGGCCTCTGCATCCTTCATCCTTTCATTCATAAAATGTAGCCTAGTGATTATGCCAACACTGTAGGAGATGCAAAGATGAAACAGACAAAAACCCTGTGCCCCCAAATGCCAGTACCTGAATTTAAAAGATAAAAGTGATAAATGCCATAAGAAAAGCACAGATAAAGTCGTAGAAGTTCCAAAGCTTGGCTGCTGGAGCCTCACTCATATGCTACTTTGTATTGATCGCATCCAACAGCCTTATGATTTTATGAAATTATACATTATGACTCCCAAAAGTTGTCATAATGTAAACATACAGTAAGTTAAAGCAACTTAATTTTTATGGCGAATTTAATGTAGTTAGCTATTATTTTAGAGAGATAATTTGAGACTTTTACAAAACCATTGTTGAAAGGGAATTATTTTTTTAGCTCATCAACACTCTGATGATTTTCCCCTTTTATTTTAGTCTTCAAACAACTTTATCTTATAATTTTTTTCTAATATAATTTTTTTTCTGTAAAACCATGGAGTAATAAGGAAAACCTTTTTTCTCTTTTTATTTGTTACTAGTATTTCAGTTGAGTAACTAATCCCTTCATTGTTTTAAATGCAGAAACTTTTTGTGGATATTTTTTAAATTCTTTTCTTCCAGCACTCTGATGAAATACAAGAAATTCTCTGTTAGAGTGCTGCTAAGTTTCCTTTTAAAAAAAGAAAGAAAGAAAATTCTTTAGGTTTCCTGAATAAAAATAAAGAATAATATGGCTAAGAAAGACTAATAGAGAAGGTGAATATGATCAGAGCACAGTATATATATATATATATATATATAT